TTGCTTTGCCAATGATAAGCTTAAGAAAAATCACCTTGTCGTTTTGTGTACTACATCTTAGAAAGCCTAATTTGATGCTGGTCATTGGTGTAACGGCAAAACTCTTGGAGAATTCTGAATGTATTACTATCATGATGCTATACATCATCTAGGCGTCTTACATGCATATCCTCTTGATTTGATACGGATAAAAGAACAATTTTCTAGGTTTCCGAAACACTTCAGTTATTGGAACGCTTAACTCTCTATGAAACTTGGCATAATTTGCGTTCATTGAGTAGATATACGTTTTTATCGAATTTATGGCGAACATTTTGGCAAATCGCCTTCTTCAGAAACTGACAACGCGAATTGCAACCTATTCGAGCAAATGTCTCTGCGGTTAGGCAGAAGAAGTCAAGCTTGATTTTTGTTATTAGCTTTGCTGCAAAACAAAACGCCCACACTTTTTAGCGGTGATGAGTTTATTGCAGGCAACCGCTAATCGACTGCCCAGAAGACTTGACACAGGTAGAGTGCAAGTTCTACACCCCTCCTTGCGATTCATTCGAACACTTAGACGTTAAGGAGAGATCATGCACAACCACTCTCTTACAGACTCACCAAGTGCTGAAACATGTGGGGATAAATTTTGGAGCTATATAGAGTTCTTAGTGCATGAATCCTAAACTTCAGATCGAATATTTGAAAGCGTTTTAGATTTACGCTATAAAAGTAAATCACAAGGAGGAGTGCCTTGTAATCACGCGGGAGCTTCACTCACCCTTCAATCAACGTTTCTGTTCTGGCCGCCTCTGTGGTCAGTAGCAGCAAAAAAAACTCATCATCGCCCCTAATACAACTTGAACGTTTGGCAGCACAGCTAGTAAACAATAAGCTTTAGGGCATTCGCAGCCGCAGGAACATTTAGTCGAACATGATGCAGGTCGTATTGCCTAATTTAAGCTCTAAGAAGGCGATCTGTCGAAACGGTATCTAACAAAATCAATAACAACTGCTTGTGACTACATCCAATTATTTTTAGTAAAAAGAACATTGACATTGTGAAATGGGAGAAAGAACAAGTTGGTTTGGTCCTGCCATGGCCGTAGTGATGGTGATCACCGGCTCGATAAATACCCTCTCTGCCAAATGGGCTGACAAAATTGTGTCGGATAACAAACACTTCAATCATCCCTTTCTTCAGGTAATGATCGAAATTATAAAAAAGACGAACCCAAACACCTTTCCCTGCAGTAGCCCACCTAAGTCAGTAATAAGATGTTAGCCTTTATGCTTCATGATTCACTGGTGACTGTCAATTTTTGACATTTTTCTACATCTCCCATCCCC